GGATAAAGTGTAGTCCAAAATAGTGTCTCTTAAGGCGGGTAACAGTTATGTGAATATGGGGTGATGTATATGGGCACTTGAGTACCAGCAAGACCCCCACCTCCATAACCTTGTGCACCAGGCGAACCTGTGTACCCACACTTAAGCACTCCCCCACGGACTAAACCAAGAGGGAACACCGGTCAGAAGTTCGTGCCCCTGGTAACACTGAATAACAAAAAAAGAGAACCCCCAAGTGTTGCATGTGTATAGGCATAGTTGGTAACATTTGTCTAGCCAGTGGCAGGGAATTTGCATTGGTAGTTGACATCACATTTCCATTGTGCGGACCTCAGTACATTTGAAGGACAAGTCCCATTTTAACTCTGTCCATAAGACAGACATTTTCCTTACATTCCTCCAGAGTCAGAATAAGTCTAAGTTAACTTTTGGAAGAACCAGAGAAAGGGGTGAAAATGGATAAAATGTATCTGAAAATAGTGTCTCTTAAGGCGGGTAGAGTCCCCTGACAACTCCCCCTACATTCCTCCAGAGTCAGAAAAAGTTGAAGTTAACTCTTGGAAGAACCATGGAAAAGGGTGAAAATGGATAAAAATGTATCCGAAAATAGTGCCTCATAATGCAGATAGAGTCCCCTGACAACTCCCCTTGAATTCCTCCAGAGACCAGTTCAAAAACTTAAAGTTTGGTAAGAACCATGATTGGGGGTCCTCCAGGCAACAATTGTATCCGATCCAAAGTGCTCATGTAGCGGATGCATTCCTCCATGATTTCCCCATCATGTGAAATAGGCCGTTTTTTTCTAAGTGCTCTTAAAAACCGGGTTTCCGATTTCGTGCAGATGGTACTTGGAAAAGATGAATGAATTTTTTGGACGGAGGAAGGGAGGTCTCGATTCCCCTCTCCGTTGTAAAATGCAACGGGGTAGTGCAAATGTCTCCGGGGCTTCCGCCGGAAGCGCCGAAGACTTGAGCTTTTGTGAGCCCCTCCCCCGTTGGCACTTAGCCGTTTTTTCGAGAATTTTTTAAAACTTCATTTTTGATTATTTTAAGATACGGTGGGGGCGCATGGCAGGCCGCCGATGAGCTCCCAAATTCGGCCTGGAACCTCCGGGAATTGTGGGCTAAGCTCCATAAACTGACAAAGTCACCCAGAAATGTCACTTTAATAGCCAAAAAATATATAATACAAATACATTTAAATAGTAAAAGGTACAATTGTGCTGATAATTACCGTCAATTTGATTTATATAGCCCCATGATAGTGAATACAAATCATTTTCATGGGAAAAAAGTGTTAAAATGCCTGTTTAATATGTTTGTAATGCTGGCAGCAGGTTCACTGCTGTAAGCAGGGTCCCACACTCACAGGCAGAAAATGGATAAATTGTATCCCAAAATAGTGTATCTTAAGGCGGGTAAAAGTTATGTGAATATGGGATGATGTATATGGACACTTGAGCACCAGCAAGACCCCCACCTCCATAACCTTGTGTCCTGTCCGTGGCAGGGACTTTGCATTGGAAGTTGACATCACATTCCATTTCCATTCCATTCATCCAGAGTCAGAAAAAGGCTAAGTTAACTGTAGGAAGAACCAGGTGAAGGGGTGAAAATTGATAAATTGTATCCCAAAATAGTGTCTCTTAAGGCGGGTAAAAGTTATGTGAATATGGGGTGATGTATATGGACACTTGAGCACCAGCAAGACCCCCACCTCCATAACCTTGTGCACCAGGCGAACCTGTGTACCCACACTTAAAGGGATAGTGGAAAGGAACCTCAAATAGTTTCGTTTTAACTTATATACAAGTGTGGGAATCTGACGTCATTGTCACCTGATGCGGTCACATGACCGGTGACCGAGTAAACAGGAAGCCATAAAAAGTTTGCCGTCAGTTCAAGAAAGTCTCTCTTGGCTGCTTGTCACTGGTCTTCTCCCTCTCACAAAGGTAGGAATAACAGTTTTAAGGTGGTTTTATGTTCTTTTAAATTAACTTATGCAAGTGGCTCATTTAGTTTGGTTTTATTAGGGCGAGTGCAAGACGAGAGTTTACCATTGACGGAGGAAAACTCTCCCGACAGGCACAAGACCGGGTCTGTTATGAGTAATTTGCTTTTAAATGGCGTTTTTAAACCGACGTTTTTAAATTGTGTTTTTAAGCAACTTATTTATGTGTTTTTACAGAGCTTAATGTACACAACCGGCCCAGCTACCCGGGATATTAAGTGACCATTTCCCCGGCAGGATTAAGCCGAGTTGGAAACCTACTCTGTGGAAGTATGCCTTGTTTTTAACTCTTTCATTTTATATTGAGTTGGTGAATGAGGCTGGCAACTAACATGTTATGTTGTTTCCTTTTCAAAAGGACCAGGCCAGCCACTGTCCTATAGTGTTTCTTGTGTATTTTCTTACCCATTTTCTTCATGTGCAGTGTATGGCAGTATAATCATTTTAATATTTGTGTCGTAGGTTGCGCTCCTCTGCGGCGTAGGCCTGGGCCCGGGTGGAACGCTGCCTGCCTTCAGTGTAGGGACTGCACGGTGTGACACTTTATTTTCTGTATGCTAAATAACTCACTGTTATTATTTTATAGAGATTGTGGTTTAAATATTGCATGCTTATGTTGTTTTGGTGTGTGGCTTTTCTTGTTTTTGTCCCTCACGATTAGCAGGCACTGCAACCCAGCGGACCGGGCCTGCCCAACTGAGGAGGGTAACTTATATATGTATTGAATTGTATTTGCCATTTTTATACTGGACATGAATCGACATTTTAAACTGTTTCCAAACTGTTATTAAATAAAAATGTGTTATGTTTTTGGAATTCATGCCTCGGTCATAATTGGACCGATTAAGGGAAGCTTTAAACAAAGCGATCCACGACTTACATTTAGGGTCCACGGGTTCCTCCTGCCCCTTAGCAGGAGGTGGCGTTGTCAAGTACTAGCTTTACATGTGGCAACCTCAGTCACGGTTACCACACAAGCATAATTACGTACCAAAACAATCACACCTGATTAAAAAAATATAATAATTGCCTTACGCTTGTTAGAAGCACTTTATTGCAGCTTCCCCAAAGTTTTTTAGAAACGAAATGTTCGACTCAGCCAAACCGGAAGTGACGAAAACTTAGGAAGACGATACGATAACAAACCATGGCGTCTATGCAGAATGAACATGGAAGGGCAAATATACCAGACAAAGAAGAAGGATTGTACGAGGTATCCAGTGATGATAGCGAGTCAGAAACATCCTCTCGGCTTTCCTACGAAAATGTCGTTTTAGGAACTGAATCTGAATCCGGTTCAGTAAGCGACGATGGTGACAATATTGAGCCAGACGATGGACCATTACGTCCTTATTTGTTCGAGCCTGAGCCCGAGGTGATGGTTCACGGCATGGGCAATGGCGAGGATGACCAGGACCAGGCGCCAGATGATGCACCCCTACGCACAAATAATCTTGACTGGTAGGTCCCTAAGCATAGCTCACGCCTCTTAAGATCACATGTAGCCTTTACAAATATTAATCATTATTAACCAGTTAAGCCCGAAGGTCCCCCCAGTGGACCCCTCCCACAGTTTTTTTTCTCTCACATGTCTCAGGGCTTCTTAACATTTATGAAACTATTAATGTTTCATACCCTTTTAAAGGTAAGAAACTCCGCTAACTGACAATAAGAACAATTGTTAGCTAGAAAAAACACAAGAGTAATACCAAGCCTTTGAATTAGCATTGAGCGAAACAATGCTAACGCTTTTTTTACACACAACACACGGTAGAAATGCCCTTATTACTATCTTAACTGCACAAACAAGATATACGATTTAAAGCTGAGACTCCACAGGTGTAATGTCATCACTGTAAGACCTCTAATTCCTGGAGCTATCAGCCAGAAAAGAGAAAGTAAACAACATTCCAAAAATATTACAATAATTACGTCTTACCTTTTTTGATTTGTGATCAAAAGTTGTGTTCAACGGAATAAAAACGCATCTCAAGGTTAATCCAATGTCGTTGTGTCACGTAGAATTTTTTACTGATAATCAATCATCATATTCTCGAAACAATCGTCAGTAAAATGACGGGAGCACACGACTGCCGAATTACTCGTCAGCTTCGGCTCCGTGAAGTTTGCCCGTGTTATCTGAACAAATTTCACCCACTGACGACGAATGGCTGGGTTTCTTGGAAACGCATGCATCGATACGCCATTCTCTGCATTTGCTGTCGCACTACAGCCATACAAAACACATCTATTCACCATAATAAACGTCGGCTATTCACATGCAAATGCTATTGAATGTCCGCCATTGTTTGTGCCCGTCTTCCTCTGCTCTCGTCATCTCCCGACGATTCCCGAAGTATTTCGTTTCATTGAGAGGGCGCAGTAAAATTGAAAATAAAATGAAACTAGGCGCATGAAATTAAAAAAAATTGTTTATTATGCTTATTTTTAATAAAAATACATAAGTTAAACCCAAAATTCGCGGATTTCCACTATCCCTTTAAGCACTCTCCCACGGACTAAACCAAGAGGGAACACCGGTCAGAAGTTCGTGCCCCTGGTAAAGCTGAATAAGAAAAAAATATGGGGGCATGCCATTAAAACTGCTATGCATTGAGGATTTTAGTCCGAGACGAGTGCTTATCTGCGGGTATCTTGTGTCAGCTTCGTGGACCTCAATTTAGCAGGAGATGTCCATGATATTGAAAAACATATTTATATACAGAATGATGATTATTTTACCCTCAGACACATGCATAGAGAACCCCCAAGTGTTGCATGTGTGTTGGCATAGTTGGTAAAATGTGTCCAGCCGGTGGCAGGGAATTTGCATTGGTAGTTGACATCACATTTCCATTGTGCGGACATCAGTACATTTGAAGGACAAGTCCCATGTTAACTCTGTCCATAAGACAGACATTTTCCTTACTTCATTGTAGCAATCTTTAAGTTAAACCAACTTACAGTTAGGAAGGTCAATTATGTCTGTTCTACACTGGCAGCAGTTGCTGCGGCCACCTGGGCTGGTACGGGAATGGCATTGGAATTTCTCTCAAACTTCTTGGGTCAACTTTCAAGTGCGAGTTTGAGTCAGTGGGCTGCACATTAGAGCCAGAAGCAACACTTCCTTGGGAAGGAAAGTCCCACATGCCAGCTTTACTTTGGAGCACCCCTTGCAGGGGATCGGCCTGCTGAGGATTTGAAGGGTATGAAGGCTGGTAGGGCTTGGCCTGCTGAGGATTTGAAGGCTGGTAGGGCTTGGCTTGCAGAGGACTTGAAGGGTAGGAGGGCTGGTTGGGCTTGGTCTGCTGGGGTTTGGGCTGGTACCAAGACTGCAGGGGATTTGAAGGGTTGGGCTGAGGTTTGGGCTGGTGGGGCTTAGGCTGCAGGGGTATTGAAGGGTTGGGCTGAGGTTTGGGCTGGTGGGGCTTAGGCTTGTAACCGGCCTGCTGGGGCTTTGGAAGGTTTTTGGGCTTCTGGGGCTTGGAGTAGGGACCAGAGTGCATCACAATTGCAGAACTTGAAGCAATACCAGACTGAAAAGAGTTTGGATTATGGGACAAAGGGAAAGCCCACGGGGCAGCTTTGCTTGGAATGACACCATTTGCACTAGGGTTAGCTTGAGGTAGTTGGTTTGGCTTACGAATTATTGGTTGGCTTGGCCCGTAACTAGAAACACTTCCCTCAGGACTGTAACCATCTACTTGCCTTCCATGAGAGCCACTATAACCTCCTGCACTTGGTGCAGCAGCTGGCTTCAGAGTCTCAGATAAAGCCCCATCAGCATGAAAGGGTGAATAACTACCCAAAACCCTCTCAGGCTGTGCTGAACTATCATCACTGGAAGTGGAAGCAGGTTTAAGGCTTCTTGAAAAATCAAAGTGAGGTGTAATGCCACTGGAGCCTCCACTTCTGTAGCTGAGTGCTAAAAGGAGAACACATTTTTTAAAAGACAGCCTTATAGGACAATTATACATTTCAATTGCAGCTTGTGAACCAAAAATCCTTACCCTTTGCTTGCTGCCCAAAAATCAAGAGTGAGATCACAAGAACTCTAAGAAAAGAGGAATTAAACATGAGCCAACCAAAAACAGTTAAGTAGAATAAATATAAGAAATCTGCCAAAATAAGAATATCTTACCTCACACACAATCCAAAATACATTTTTGTTGTAAAACTGAAACCAAACAGTCTGTAAGCGGTGTGCAGCAAATACAAAAATAATCTATTATTTCAGATTCATGACTGCTGCAAAGACAGTGGTCCTTTTAAAGTGTCGGTGCATGAGCTGACCAATCATCGCACTGATGAAGTCATTGGAATCAGCTTGGGAACTCCGCCCTCTGGCAACCTGGACAGGTGTTCACACTTTAGCTAATTTGACACATTTCAACATTTCATTCTGTCAGCAGATCTGATTCAAAAGTCAGTTTAACCAAATGATAACCTTTACCTGGCCGCTAGGCAAAATTCCCCTGACAGGCGATAATAGTTTGAACGTAGTTTTGTTTTTGTTTATTGAGGTTTTGATTTAATTTTCCTCCTTCAATTCCACAGAGGTTTTAGTAAGACCCAGAAACTAAGACCTAAAAAGTGTAAGCTTTTGATCTTAAAACACTATGAAATGACAAGCTGTATTAAAAACAAACACATATATATGTATACATGTTAACATATGTTTAAGATTTAATTTATATATATGTTCCACTGCAAATAAGATATTGTACTCTTCCACTGAAGTTGAGATCTTATGGGACCTTTTACCACAGTATGATTATTTAAAAACAAATGTTCTTGTGATTTGAAAATGATTTTGGAAGTGTTTTGGCTTATTGAAAACCACATATCTTATATCACTGCTTATCATTTTCCAAATCACATAATTAGACTCAATTACTGTAAATGTTCTTTCCTCCAAGCAGCCATTGATTATAGGGCCCTATAAAAGTCACCTGCAGTGACTGAAAGCACTTTTTGTAGCACACTTATGGTTTCAGTAAAGAGAGACACAAACTATTTTATTAGCCATCATTCATGATATTCGTTTCACAAAAAATGTAATTCAAACAATGTTTCATTATTTTTTACATTACAAAGAAAACAAACTATTTGTATGTCCAAACTCAAGGCTCCACATTTACCATTATTTCAATTGCTAGATATTTTAATATAAATATTATAGCAATATATAACATTAAATATATGAGCATAAAACATGTAGATACATCATTCTTAAAACACCAACTGAGAGCCACTCATGCGGCTTTCACACTAGCGCTTTTCCCTTTCTAGCTCCGAGCAGGAGCTTTTCTGGTTCAACTCCGGTTTCCCTTTTCTGCTCCCGTTCTGTTCACACCGCCCAGAGCCCGACTGGTGCTGCCGCTGCTGCGTCACAACGTCACCGTTTACGTGCCTGCTTCATAAAATCCAAACCGCGCGGATATCCCTCACATCGACAACAACAACAATGGCCGATTGTATTGAAGCGCTGTTCGCTTTGGTTATCCTCTTACGAAACGAAATGGAAGGCATCGGACGACTTTACTTGGAACTTTACAAACATCACATGCAAAATGCAAGACTTCTTTGTGGTCTTCAGGATCTACTTCAACAACGAATCTGCCCCTGCCCCCGCCTCGACGTAAGAGAGACATTACATTACATTACATTACATTACATTACATTGCTTTTAGCTGACGCTTTTATCCAAAGCGACTTACAATAAGTACATTCGACCAGGAAGACACAACCTTGAAGAAAACAGAATCATATAAGTACATCAGGTTTCATAGAGCCAAACATTTCAAGTGCTACTCAACTGGCTTTAGGTAAGCCAGTCCTTTATTAGTATATAAGTGCTTTGTTAATAGTTATATCGCTCGAAGTGGAGTCGAAAGAGATGAGTTTTCAGTCTGCGCCGGAAGATGTGCAAGCTATCAGCTGTCCTGATGTCAATGGGGAGCTCATTCCACCATCTTGGAGCCAGGATAGCAAACCCACGTGTTTTTGCTGATGGGAACTTGGGTCCCCCTCGCAGCGTGGGTAGAGCGAGTCGTTTGGCTGATGCAGAGCGTAGTGAACGCGCTGGGGTGTACAGTTTAACCATGTCCTGGATGTACGAAGGGCCAGATCCATTCGCAGCATGGTAAGCAAGTACCAGTGTCTTGAAGTGGATTCTAGCAGTTACCGGAAGCCAGTGAAGGGAGCGGAGGAGCGGAGTGGTGTGGGAACATTTAGGAAGGTTGAAGACCAGACGAGCCGCTGCATTCTGGGTGAGCTGCAGAGGTCGGATGGCACATGCAGGTAGACCAGCCAGGAGGGAGTTGCAGTAGTCTAGGCGTGAGATGACGAGAGCCTGGACCAGAACCTGCGTCGCTTTCTGTGTCAGCTGGGGACGTATCTTCCTGATGTTCTAAAGCGTGTATCTGCAGCAACGGGTTGTAGCAGCGATGTTTGCAGTGAAGGACAGGTTGTTATCTAGGGTCACACCCAGATTCCTTGCAGTCTCAGTCGGGGAAACAACAGATGTAACGATGTTGATTGTTAGGTCAAGAGTGGGACAATCTTTTCCCGGAAGGAAAAGCAGCTCAGTCTTGTCAAGGTTGAGCTTGAGGTGATGAGCAGACATCCACTGAGAGATGTTAGCTAGACAAGCAGAGATGCGTGCGACGACCTGGGTCTCTGAGCGGGGAAAGGACAGAATTAATTGGGTGTCGTCAGCGTAGCAGTGGTATGAAAAACCATGCGGGCTAATAACTGATCCGAGCGAGTTTGTGTACAGGGAGAAGAGGAGGGGACCAAGAACAGAGCCCTGAGGGACCCCTGTAGTTAATTGACAAGGGTCGGACTCAGACCCTCTCCAAGTTACCCTGTAGGTACGGTCAGAGACGTAAGCGACGCGGCCTCTTAGCTCCGAAGCTCTTTCCTCTAGACCGCCAATTTTTTGGAGCTGGAAGTGAACCGGATTCCGGAGCTAAGAGGCGGCGCCTCTGCGGTGTGAACAGGAAAAAACGGTACTTTCCAGGCTCCAGCTCCAGCTCCGAGCCGGAGCTGTAAACGCGTTGGTGTGAAAGGGGCATAATTGAGGCGATACTGCTAAAATAGGGAGGTAGAAGTAATGATTTAGACTGGAGTAAAAGAGTAGAGTAAAAGATAAATTTAAATTGAAAAATGAAATCATTTAGAACTGTACATAGAGAGAAGGAAGATGGAAAGAAGGATAGAGGAAAGAAAGAAAAATGTGTGAACGTTGTAGGGGTCTGTTAGCTGAGTTTGAGGCCGAGGCAGAGAGCCAGCTCGTTCTTCTGGATCTTTCCATCTCCGTTGATGTCGCCGTGACCCATCAGAGCTTTCCTGAACTTGTCCAGGTCTGTGCCACTGATGCTGGGCTGGAGGAGAGGGTCGGGGGGTGGAAGAGTTACAGAGAGGTCAGAAGATTCCTGATGAATGACACTGACTGATATCTGATCAATAACATTGTGTATCAGCTCTGTATACAAGGGAATGTAAGGGCACCTTCACCAGTGGCGTGCACAGACATTTATAGGGGCAGGTGCTCAAGAGAAAAAAAAGGGCACCTTCTGAGTCGTCGTGGTGGTCGCGCCGAAATTGTGCGCTCCGAAATTGTGCGCAAAAATGTGCCGGATAATGGCGGATTATGTTAGTTTATTTTCGGTTTTTGGTTACTTTATTTCGGTGTTAGGGTTAGATTAGGGTTATGTTATTTAATTCTTATTTTTGCCTGATTTTACTGATTTATTATCAAAAAATTAATTATTTTAACATTTATTTGTATTATTCTAAATTACTTAGGTGGGTCCAATCTGAAGCTAAGGGGGGGACGAAATCCCCCCCCCCCCCCGGGATTGACGCCCCTGGTGGAACCGCCGGCTGCCTTAGTAGTGTGAGATTTATTAAAGGCACATCTTGTATGTCGTAATTGCATATATATTTATTTCAATAACCATATGCTGTCTGATGCAGATGCCTATCTAAAACAAATCAGATAGTAGGCTTACTAGCTTCTACACGCTGAAGCAACTGTAGTCAGGGATGCAAACTCATCAGGTATGAAAAAGGTGACAAGGATCCGAGCCCCCCGACCCCACGGAATATCGGCTTTAAAATTAGGAATAACAGAGGATTTTAGCAGTCAGAACAACTAAAGCAGCAGGTAATAATAACAGAAACGCCAAAGAGTTACATCTAATAGAAATATATAAAAGCATTTATTTTAATTGTGTAGCAGTCAGTTTATAATTTTGGCAGCACTGTTGAGCATTTTGAAAATGTATTTTCATGCCTTAGTATTTTTATAATACTTTTCTACTTTCACTTGAGGAACATTTTGAATGCAGGACTTTTACTGTAACAGAGTATTCCTACACTCTGGTACTTCTACTTTTACTCAAGTACAAGATCTGAGTACTTCTACGTTTATTAAGTACAAGATCTGAGTACTTCTACTAAAGTAGGCTACAAGATCTGAGTATACTTCTACTTTTACTCTAGTAGCCTACAATCTCTATACTTATACCACCTCTGTTTATAGCCTATGAAAAAAACTATTAGAAAACGAAGGCTAAAGCTAACGTTAGCAGATAGTGACAATGATATTGCGACAGAAAAACGTTCCAGTTCACATCACGCTCTGCCGCTCTGCTCTGAACACCTGAACGGCCCGTTCTAACAGCTGTTCACCAGCGGCTCAGTCTGTGCCACAGTGACTCCGCACAGTTAACGAACACACCGTAGATAATGTAGCTGACCCTCATCCCGGAGCAGCAGAGTTCAGCCGGCCCGACAGGCAAGAAGACTCGAGCACACAGCTCGCGCTTCATATATTAAAAAATAACACCATGCGCGTCATGATGGCACATAACAGCTCGCGACCGCAGATTATTTCGGCGATTAGATAAAATGTAAATTATTTTGACGCAACTTTAGTTACATTTCCATGACTTTTCCAAAACTTTGGGAAAAATATTGTTTTCCATAACTTTTCCAGGGCCTGGAATTTGCATTTTGAATTTCCATGACTTTTCCAGGTTTTCAATGACCGTACGAACCATGTATAGTTTAGTTTGGCATCTGATTTAGGGGATTAAACAATACACTCATTGTATTTGTTACCTGGTGGTTACTTACTTGGTGGTCACTAGGGCACTTTTAATCGTGTTGCTGCGTG